CCAGCCACAAAAGATATAGTAGGTGAAAGGCTTGCCCACCAATACTCATACAATACAAAAGAATTTGCCACACAAATGAGTACATGATTGCTGGTTGTAAATTCATTTGAAAAATTGAAGAAACTTATTTTCATTGTCATAAAAATGTTGTTGGCTGAGACGATATCAATATCTGAAAAYTTAGCGATTCCCAGTGATGCGTCAACATTGGGGGTATTACAACTTTACGTGGGAAAAGCAGAGAAAAGCAGGTACTATCAGGTGATGAAAAAAAAAGATTTCGATAAAAGAATGTGAACATATTGCTTTTATGACAAATGGAATTTTGAGCTAAAGGAACAATTGCCTGAATATCAACAGAAGGCCTTGCCCTCTGCCAATACGATAAAAAAATATCTGAAAACGTACTCCAAGCTAATTGAATGGTACATGGAAAATGTAGAGTACCCCACAGATTCCAATGGAATGTATTTCGATTGTGATAAGACAAATGAAAATGGACGSTATATTAAAAGGATGGAAGATTTTTGGGGCATTATCTATCAAAACAATCCATGCAGGATGTTGTTAACAAAGGTAAAGACACAATGCACCAGTTCGTTTTAGACAAGCAATTGGAATATTTCAGAAGCTCTACAAAGCAGGGTCAATTAATTGAACACTGTGCCACGTGTGAACCTTCTATCAAGCAGTTGTGGAAAAAATTGCATTCACCTTTTGGACCACAAGCCTACACTATACTTTCACTGGAACAATTGATGGACAAACAAATACAGGAAGAAGACTCTTTTTATACAAACTTCCTTCCAGAAGTCATAAAATGCCACCTCCTTGTATCAACAATTAAACACAACGTGGAAGTGAAGAAAGGATGTGAAGAGAACATTTCAATTTGGAAGTCTGGTGACAATGAAGTAGAGGGCCAAGTTAAATGTTTGCTCACATACAAAGCTTTGTCGATGATTGACAAACATTATGAGAACATAGCAAAATTCTACAATGTTAACATCTACCTTGGTGAAGGCAACAACACTGTTGTATTTAGCACACAAAGCAAAGCCAGTTGCTTTGACATGACCCTGACCTGTTCCAAAAGTCTTGACTTTGTGCTTGTTCACTGGTTTACCAAGAACACGGAGGAAAATGTAGAAGACATACGAAAGGTGTGTGATACAATTGTGGAAAAGAATGCAGCATTTTATGACACTCTATACAGATTGATTATTGAGGATAACAACAATCCCAAATGCACCTACAATTCAGCTGTGACAAAAATCACAAATTTTTTCAAGGGTATTCAACTAAAACCAAATAAAGATGCTTGGGAAAAATATGTTTGCAGTGTAATTCCCAAAATTGTTCCGGATGCCAAGAAAGAAATAGAAGCCACAAAGAAGGAACAAAATTCAGAAGACCATTATACTCCTTCAAAAAGCAGTGCAACTCCCAAGGTTGTTCCAGATGGCAAAAAAAAGAAACTAGAAAAGAACAAAATTCAAAACAGCACGATATTCCTTCAAAAAGAGTAAAGATGTCTCCAAAGTGGGTCATTGATTCAGCAAAGATACAGGAAGACCCTTCAGGTTTATGTTGCATTGAATTCCCAGTTAATATGGACAAGCCAAACACTCATCTTGTAGGGAGGAAAGTGTTGATTGAAAATCCCAAAATAAAATTTCCATATTTTTCTGTAGATGACAAGGTGACAACCAGAGATGGTAAATCGGGAGTGATAAAAGCCATCAAAGACCAAAACGTGCTTGGGTATGAGGAGTTGAAAATGGACAATGATTGTGACAATAATTCTGTTGTATTTTATCCTTTCGAACAAGTGACTCTTCCACCAACACTATGCAAAACTCTTTCCAATATAGTTCAAATGGAGCTGGAGCCCCTGAGCAAGAAATAAGAGGCGTACTGTTGTTTTGTAATCAAGCTACAATTTAGTGGTTTTTAATCTATGCTACTATTATATGGTGTGAATTTTTCTTGCAGTTAGGGTACCTAGATTTCTGGTTCCAATATATATTTGTCGTACAAGCGCTGCGAGCTCCTTCCCAGCTACGATTGTAAACACACTCGAACCGGTACGTAAAGTACCGACGGATTTCGACGTTCTTGCTATTCCATGATTGTCGAACGGGTTCTTGTTCTTGTTCGTGTTCTTGCTCTGTTGTAGGTGGTTGCACCGAAAGACAGAGGAGACCACCCATTGATATTCCATACCGTCTACCCGGCAMGGGAAAGGTGGTACCGTTCTCCCGTCCTCGAGGCAGTCCTAGATCGATCGATGCCTTCTCGGAAGACCCGGAGAGGCTTGCCAGAAGAAACACAACAACAAAACCTGTAAGAAGAGAACCGCATCGCTGTTCTGCTGCCCTAGTTGTCGTTGTCATTGTCATCGCCGCCGCTGCCATGCTGGTGGCGATCGCGATCCTGGATTCCCTGCTGGACAGCGACCCGGAGTCCGTTCTGTTCATGCTGTACATCATCTACTCCATTCTGGGCTCCTTTCTCAACTCGAGGGCCGTCCCGGAGGCCTCCGCCCCGCACCTCCTGGACCAGGTCCGGGCCGCCGAAACGGGGATCGCCGGCCTCCCGATCGAGGGGGTCCCCGTTCCCCCCTCGCCGTGCGGGAGGACCCTCGGCGAAACGGCGGCCACCTGCGGCTGGGCCGTGGCCTGGGGGGCCTACAAGAACAACCATTACCACAACCATTACAATTACCACAACCATTACCACCACCACGGCGATCGRCCCTTTTCCTCGCCCCGGACCACCCTCCGCCGCTACCTGGGAACCACCGTCCGGAGGGCGGCCTTCCTTGCCTGGTCCTCCGCCTACGGCCGGTGGGTCGACCTCCGGGAGGAAGCGGCGGCCTTTCACCGGTCCGCGGTGGAGAAGGCGGCGGGCGAGGGAGGCCTGTTCGGGCACTGGGGGGCGGCCARGGGGCGCTTCTGCGAGAGCCTCTGCCAAGGCATCGAGCCCCTGGCGGCGACGCAACGGTACGCGCTTTCCCTGGCGCAAACGGCCGCCACCGCCGCCACCCTTGCCGCGAGCCTGGGCGCCGCGGGCATCGAGCACTGCTTGAGGGTTGGCGCTGGTGCTGGTGCTGGYG